AATACAAATAAATCTATACTTTCCTCCTAAATTTAATGGTATTTGCCGTCACATTTTGCAGTGGTTGTTTTCCACGTGAGTCCAGCTTTATTTAAATTCCCAGGTCAGAAGAGGACGTCTGTTGTTTCAGTACACACAATATAAATTTGACATCCACCTTGTGCACGTCATTGGCATTTTGGTTGCTGTGGAATAAAATTCCTGCTGCTGTTTTTGCTATTGAGTTGTGATATATTTGCTATTTCCTCAATAAATACAAATATGTGCGCTCAACATCCAAATCAGTCACATATACAAAGACTCGCACAACTCACACAGACCGAAAAACCAAACCATTCCACTTATTAATCTCAAACTCACCACGTGTTTCTGTACTGTGACACTGTCCTCATGTGAATGCAACATTGCATCAGGAATTCAAGGAGGAGTCGTACTTTTATTTGCATTTCATTTTTGCAATGCAGATCACTGTGACGTAAGTGTGAAAACAAACGGTTGGAAATATCACAGCTAGTGGGTGTGTTTCCTTTGTGTTGACTTGTCACCGCACATGCTGGTTTTGCTTGCAGGTGTGTTCGCTTGTGGGTGTTCCACGTCTCATTCATACCTGAGTGTGATTACGCAGTTACAATATGGGGCCTTGTTTTTCTTATAAGAACCAACAGGTGAATAAGGGGAATAAGGTTCAGGTCGGGAAAGAAGCAGTTGTGTTTCAGGCTGAAGTCAGTCATTGTGTCTATTGGAGAGAGAAATTAAGCCTTTCCATATTCCACGCTGACCCCTGGTGGTTAGACATGACATTACAAGAAGAATAAGACCTTGACTGATATGACAGAAACAAACCACAGGGTGGAGGGAGAAGACAGGAGCAGACAGATGTTTGCCATATTACTGTCTGAACCTCTGCTTACACATGGACTAGAGTAGATCTGATATCTATCACTGTGTTTGAAAAACAACCAGTCACATACAGAACCTAATGGAGATCTCCTGCAGTTCAATAAAATACACGCACCAGCACAGGAGAGACACAAGGCTCTGATCACCCCTCTGCAGCAAAACCATGAGCAGAGGCTTCTCATCTTACGTCTCCCTTGTTATTCATGGAGAGTCTGAATCACTGACACAACACAAGCAATTTCAAACTTTACATAGTTTCCAGATCTGTCAAGTATTATTATCCCTGAGTATTTTAGTCTGAAGTTGGGTAAAATTTGGCTGCTGTTTGAACGTTTTTGAAACTGACCGAGAAAACATCGAAATTTCAAATACTCACAATGACTATTGACACATTTTCCTGCTTCAAACAATTACTGTTTTTTTGGACAATTGGGTGTTTGGTTGAAGAAAACTAAGAATACATCACAGTCAGTGCTGCAAAGTTGTAATTAGCTTTTTCTCAAAATGTGTTAACATTTTTATTTATTTATCAAATAAATGGCTACTACAAATAAATGGCTACTACTGAAAACACAACAAAAGTGAGTGACAACACAAGTTGGAAATGAAATGAGCAGAGATACATACTGTGGTCAAGTAATGGATGTATAAATCAAATAAGCTGCCCTTAGTGACAGTTGGTGACAACCCGAACAGCTCATTTGACCACAGTAAAGCTGCTTTCAGACATGCACTGAACTCTGGAGGTCCTCCTCAGTTTATCAAGAGGCGTATGTAGTCTGCAAATGTCCAAGTTAGAGCCTCCAGTGTTTCTGTGGACTTTCTCCACCTAGCCACCTAGTATAAAGTCTGCAGAAAGTACGGAGGAGCCAATGTGAGAACGCAGCAGGAGATCACCCGCTGGATTCACTGCGATCAGGTGGGAGAGATGATGATGACAGATGCAAAAAATGATAAAGTACAAAGAAAATCTGCACCCAATCCTTCTATGATCCTCTGCAGGACATGTCTGAAATCAGCTTAGTAACTCTACTTATTTCTCAACATCCTTTGTCATTCGCTTGCATTGTGGTTCCATTTTGTGGCTGTGTGATGGCGTGTTGGGACTTTATGTTTTTCGTCAAAGAGCTTGTGTGAAACGCCTCAGCCAACATAGGAAATGGCCATATGCCATATTTAAATAAACAGTCAGGCTTGGTTCCTGTGTGGCGTAAGACTGAGATTCAATGTTGTTCTTCCACAAGGAGGTGAAAAATGTGTCTGTTTATTTGTATGTTCTCAGGACTTTAACATTGTGAGTTTTTCAACATTTTCATTACTTTCTCAGAGAATAATTCATGGATCCTGATGAGAAAAGTCAGGCATGTTTAGAGGACTGATATTTATAACTCTGCAATTTCGGATGTAGTGAATTTACATCTGCTTTCATGAGGGGACTGTTGGTATCGTGATCTAGTTTTGAACATGTGTCTGATGCTGCAGGTCCTCATGTTTGCTGAGACTCAGATTTTTCCCCAGTAAATCAATCACACTCTGTGTACAAAAAACATACAGCTTTTAATTAAATACTCCAAATCCAAAAAAAATATGCAAACAATTTCCATTTGTTCTCATTGTTTTAGTTTCTATTGCATTTGAATGGTCATATTATCCACGGCATAAAAGGCATTAATCTACATTTTAGTTATATTTTTTTTCTATCATTCACACATGGCATTGCAAACAATAAAGTGCTTTTTTTTTAGAGAGATAATCTTCTCTTTAACCAATCAAACATACACTGAGACAATACCTGCAATCCTTTCAAGACAGTGGAATTTGTCACATACATGTGCAAGTACACTTTTATACACAATTACTCAATCCCACACATGAAACTGTTTCAACCCTGCAGTTCACATACATGCTTAACTCTGTGCTTTAGAAGTGAAAAGGTTGATTGAAGTCGTCACTCTGATAAGTACTGTTTAGTAGAAAGTTGTTAACCATTCTTTCTGTGTTTTGTATGGTGATACATACAGTTTCCATCATGTTAAAGAGCTGGAGAGAGCCGAGTCTCCGTGCCCACACACACTCTCAAACCCTGTTTTGACCCCCCGCCTCTGGTCGGCTCACCTCCCGTCTCAAATGTGTGAGACGTGTGTTTCAGGCCAACAGGAAGCGCTACACACCAAGGATGTAGAAAAGCTTTGGCTACATCCATATTACTACATTTTCTTCAATCTAAAACAAAGTTTGGCTAAGTTTTCAAACAACAACCGGGCCAGCAGCATTTCAGAATGTTTTGTTTTAGTGGCTCATAGTAAAACATAGTAGTGTGGATGTTGCCTTTGTGTAGTCAAGGTTCAGTTGTAAAGTAGTTGCCACTACTCAAACTTTCATGCTTTATTCTCAGGGTTTCAGTGGGACATTTTGAGGCTGTAGCAAAAGTTTTTATTTTTAAACAGATGTTGTTATAAAGTCCTGGAACAAAGCATGAAACATAATTGCTGTGCTATACAGAGTACAATTTAAGTGTAAAGTTATACTCATGCTGATTACAAAACTGTGAGTATGTCCCTGAAATGTTCAGGATTCGTGCTTTAGCCAGGACTGATTGAACAAGCAACTTTCAACTATATCATGGCTGAGAATGATTTGATGCTTTGTGGGTAAGTTCCTTTCTGTGTCTCTACACGCACACGCACACTCACCCACTCACACACTTTCCCACATCATGAGACAAGAGGACCAAACACAGTCAAGGGGTAAATAAGTCTTTCACATACAACTTCATTGATTTCTACTCCTTTAAGCCCCTATTCCCCACTGTGGCCTCTGATGGATCATTTATGCATCTCGTGTTTGAATTGAAAGTGACACCAGAGCAGAGTAAAACTATGGTTTCTCAACACATCACTGATAACTGAACGGGCAAAACCCCAATGAAATGAAATTAAGCAGTGTGTTTCTTTTAGTTTGTTGTCTTCATGGGTGATTCGGTGAGACTGAGCCAGTTATGAAGATGCGTCATCCAACTTTACCACAATTCAATCCAATGCGTTGTGCTCTGTATCTGCCATATTTTTGATCAGCAGCAGGCCAATCGCATGGCAGGAAAACATGACAGCCTGTGATGTGGACATGCGAGCTGACGTTGTTAAGAGTGGCGTGGAGCTGCCGAGTTGACTGACAGTTTAACAGCGTCTCCCTTTTACGATCACAACGTCCATTAGCAGTTTTTGAAGGCACATAATATTTCAGAGTGCTCTCCACCAAACAGATGATTTATGTCCTGTTGTTTTGAGTGACAGGCACTTGAACACCTTTCTGTCCCGTTGCTATGGACACAAGCAAGAGACAAAGAGCATATTAGTCACATACAATATGAAGTGGTATCAAGTACAAGAGTGAAATGGAAATAAAACAATGACTGTGAAGAAGCTTACCCAATCTGTATTTCTCTTTAGCCTCTGCTCTCTCTTTGGCATCAAAGTACCAGACTGTGATGGCATAGCTGTAACACACAAGAGGAGGGATTGAAACAAGATCAAGACCTAGCATCTTTTGTGGATACATGACATAATTCTGGTTTGGAAGTTTTATGTCTTGTTGTTTAAGATAATGATTTGGTTTGAGTTTAATTTCCCTTGCAGTTTTTAGACTATTTACTTTGATCATTAAAGGAGACATATTGCGTTTTTTCAGTTTTTCCTTTTCAGCTATAGTGTATTATAGGTTACTTATATGTAAAAGTTGAAAAACACTGTTCCTGAAGCTACTTAAACACCTCATCAGTAGCTTGGCTGATACTTCCTAATCATTGTGATGTTATGTGACATCAAATATCCCACATCTGCCTAATGCAAGCCTAGAGGCTAGACTTGCACAACCAAGCAAGAATGGAGGCCGACATTTCTTACACATGCTGTGTTTCTTACACTAATCACAACAGAGTGGGTTAGCAGGCCAATCAGAGCAGACTGGGCAGTAAGTAATAACCAAAATTGAAATTATGATCCTGAATATAAGCATAATATGTCTCCTTTAAAATTGAGCCCAGCAGATATTTCTATCGAGAAATGGTTCTGCTGTTGAGCCTAATAAGGACCAGGAAATTTTCTGTTGACTTGTCTGTGTTAGAAAATGTGTCAATCTTTGTTATTCTGCGCTAACTGATGTTTAAATAATCGGTAAACTTAATCAAGAGTTGTCAAGAAAAAACATATATCCCCAATATACTGATCATTACTTCCACTGCATTATATTCCATTTACATTTTACATGCAAATCTGTTGGATTTTTATAAATGTTGAAAATGTAAAAATAAATTGAAATAATGGACAAAATACCTCAAAAGACATTTTAGAAGGATAATGTCTGACACAGGTAGAAAAAGAAAATCAGGTCTTGTCGTTGAGCGAACACCAAACTGTCTGGGACAGTAAATATCTCAGGCAGCAGACAGTTAATCCCTACAGTTTCTCGTCTCTCTTGTGGGGCTGTGTTGTTTATTCCTGTCTCTCATGTCTGCGCCTCTTCAGCACGAGTCGTGCAATCGAACCTTCCTCCCCTCTCCCTCCCACCAGCCCCCTCAGGAAACACATACTTCCTGCCTGTGGCCCCACCTCGCCCCCCAGCAGTCAGGACGGGAGAGGAGAGGAGATGCAGGAGTGAAAGGACATGTGTCCTCAATGGACTGTTAAGGGTTGTAATGTTACTTTGTGTGAGGAGGTTTATCTCAGAGAGAGTAAACAAGTATCTACAATACAACCTTTGAAATCAATTCTAATTCTACCTGTTTTTGACTGGATGTATTAACAAGAATGCAAACATCACTGACAATATGGAAGAGTGTGTGTTGCGAGAATTTGCTGTTCTGTCTGGTTGTGTTGCACTGCACTGCTGTACAGACAATACAAGAGTCACTAACCGAGTGGCATAGGCTGGTTTGACTTCATGCGGGTTCCTGCGGTCGGACCAGAAGATGAGCAGTCGGTCAAACAGAGGTTCGATGTTGGCGACCACATTTTTACCTTCAGGGTAGATCTGCAACAACCCTCCTTGTTTCTACAAAGGGAAATACACACAAAACACACAACAGGGTAAGCAACAGAGAATTGTCGTAATTACCTGAGGTTGAGAGTGTGTCGTTTTTTACATTTTCTTGTGCCGCTGAGCATTTTCGGGTTTTATCAATTCATAAACGTATAATTAACCAAATGGCTTTATGATTTGAAGTTTCTCTGAGCTGAAACACTGAAGAGTATAAACTGTAATAATATCAAGTGCTAATTTAAATAATGTGTTCATCAGGTGTTTTAAGACTGCAATGATCCATATTTATACAAATCTAAATCTAAATAAATTATATAAATTATCATCTTAAGTATAGATATAAATGTAAATTGAATTGATATTGATAATAAACATACCTTCACATCCCAGTTCTTGTTAAGATAGTAGATACATGTGATGCAGCGACCATCGCCCTTAGGATTGTCAACATGGCGGACATACCCCGCCCCGTTACCTGGGTAACAGGCAACCATTGCCTAAAAACAGAAGAAATGGGAATATTAATTGTGCATTTGACAAACTCTGACCGTGAAAAAACATTTTACGCAGCACCACAAAAACAGTTTTGACAACACAACTTAAGTTATTTATCATCTTTACCAGAAGAATGGGCTTTAATAAAAAGTGAATTGCGTCATAATGTATTTGACGAGCTGAGAAAGGAAAGTGCAGCCATTGAGTATTTAAAGGTTCAGTGTGTAGAATTTAGTGGTGAATCTGCATGTTGCAGCTGAATACCTCTCACCTTGCCCTCCCCTTCCAAACATAAAAAAAACCTGTGTTAGCCTGTAAAAAACATGGCAGCCTCCGTAGAGAGGACCCCCTCCCCATGTAAATATAAAATATTTAAATATAAAGGGGCAATTCTAGGGTAAAGAAACAACAATCCGTACAATTTAGATGAAACACACTATTGAGATCCCTTTCACCTTAATCTTACACACTGGACCTTTAAGAGCTACAGGTGACCAATCAGAAATAGGGCTGAACGATGGCCATATATTATACTCAGATTAAAAAATGTCTGTCAGTCAATATTGATAATTATCTCTATAAATGTCACAATTTAATTTCTTTCTGATTGAAGGTTGTGGTTTTAAACTCCTTAAACACTACAAATCCAAGGTACATCAATGATTTGTTATATCTTCTCACTGTGCTTACACAATGCATAAGCAATATATCGATACATAATGAACTTTTATTTTATCTATGAAAATATATATATATTGCAAAAATTATTGATATTGCTTTATTGCCCAGCCCTAATTAGAAATTCAGTCAGCACAAGGGAAGATTAAAAAAATTAATCTGGTCTACATTTCTTCTTTCGTCAAACACCTCTTGCAATTTTGCTTTCTCACTGCTCCATAGCACTATTTCTCCAGGTGGACAACTTGTCTATTCAGCATCTCATTCCTTAATGTGATTTGTGAAACACAGTCATGAGAGGAAGCAGCAGAGAAATGCGTCAGCGTTCAACTCCAGCTACCAAATGATCTGCAGCTATAGTCCTATATCCATGTTCAAACAATATATGCCTGACGTCTATGTGTTGGAGGGTTGGAGGCTGAGCAGTGGGAGTGTTTGTGTGAGTCTTAACCACAGGAACATGCTCCTGTTTCTGCTTTAAACCGCCTCCACCGGCCGGAGCAAGGAAAGTGTAGAGGTGATTCACTCACTGACTGTCATCAGCCTGAGAGAGATTGGAGGATACTGTCACTGCCTTGACTTATTTTGTTCTGCTTGGGAGGCAAACGTTACAGCGTCAGACGTGAGAGCATCACTTCAGCTCAGCTCTGGGACACTCACTCATCACTAACAGGTTCTGCTCTGCTGCACTATTGATTTAACTTGTCTGAAACCATCATTTAAGCTCTGGTACGACACTGTGAGAGTCTTCACCCCCCGAGGAAAGCAAAGAGCGCTCCTCACACAGATTTCTGAGACAAACGCTCCTGTCCCTGCGTTGTTTGTGGAATAAAAGTGACCGGTCAGTTTTGTTTGGCTGTATTCAGAGGGCACGCTGCACCTCCTCCCTCTACCTCCTCCCTTCCCTCCTCGTTCACAGCCAGGCGAGTTCGGTCGGATCGCGTGTGACTCTGCTCAGTCATTGTCAGCTCTCATTACTGACCAACGCTCGCAGTCAGAGCTCATTAACCTCTCGACCTTTTTGTGCTCCAGGCTTCAACTGAAAACCAGACGTGCTGCGTCAAAATGAACATTTCAACACACACAGACAAATAAAGAAAAATATGTGTATCTGCATAATGATCATTAGAAACATCTATATAATCTATATGATGTGATTTCTAGTGATTAGAGGTTGTCAAAGTAAATCAGCTGATCACATTGTGAGCCAGTTAATATTTTTGTAGAACTTTTGTGACTATAGAAGCATTTCATAATTCAGGATTTTTTTAGGGAAGGACACATAATAACCTGACTAGAAAAGCAGCAGCGCTCACACAAGGCAAAGTAGGTGACAGTGAGCAAAAAGAGATGAATGTAGATAAGGTAGGTTTCAGATTCTTTCAAAAAGGGGCACCTGCTGCTCACCTTGTAGAATGGGCAACACTTTTTAAAATAAGGAGCTTGAGCCCTCCAGCAGCCGCAGGATAAGGTCCGATCAACAAAGGCAAAATTGCCCCAAAATTGGCTTTGCAAATGACTTATGAGGGTGGAAATGCACCTAACACATTTATTACCCCTCACAGATGCATTAAATGCAGTATGATGAGTAACACTGACAGTGAACATGTGTTGGTTTCCATTCACCTCTTTTTGAGTTGAAATGACAAAGAGCAGAAATGCAAAATATCTCTCAGTATAGAGACAAATAGAAAAGAAAAAATATCTGATAGTGTGATTTCTGCCAATGTTTTTTAACTATATTATTACTGTATTATGGGGATATTAGATTATTTTAAATAGGGCTGAGCAATAAATGGTAAATGATCTGTATTTATATAGTGTTTTTCTAGTCTTGATGACAACTCAAAGCACTTTACAGCAAAGTTTAACATTCACACAAACACATTCATACAGTGCATCTTTGTGCCGCACTTTCTCTCCAATTTGAGGTTCAGTATCTTACCTAAGGACACTTCAGCATGCAAAATGGGGAAGAAGAGAATCAAACCGCCAACTACCGCTCTAACCCCTGAGTCAATCAGATTATGCCGATATTTTGTATCGATAGCAAAAGTTAAATTTCATCATAATTTAATGATTTAATGTTCGACCTCAGACTTGTAAAATGTTTTGCTGTTTATCAAGTGTTTGTGATACTCTGCTCATAAAGGAGCAGAATGATGATCAAAGAAATGATAATATGACATTAATCATCAGATTATTAATATCGACTGACATGTAAATATTTTATCTTGATATAATTTTTGGACATATCACCCAGCACTCATGTCTGACTCTCCCAGTAGCACTATGGGTTAACATGCCAGCTATCATTTATCAGAGTTGATATAGTTGTGGACACTTTATTATTTGACTATAAATATTTTTGTTTATATTCAAGGCGGAGTTTTCAGACACATAATTTATTATTACTTTTATAAAATTTGTTCTAAACCAGAAATATAATTTGATAAACACCAAAACTGTTTCACTCTCCTTCACACACACAGAGAAGCACAGCGTGACACAGCACGTCTCGATCCTATCTGCCATGTCTGTCGTTTCTGCTCTTCTCCCTCCTTCATCTCTGCTGAGATCTATGCCCACAGTACGTTCAAGTCTAATTGGCATCAACCTCCTGTCTGCCAGGCACCGGCATTAACGGCCTAATGGCAGCGCCGGGGCAGATACCCGCGCTGTCAAGGTGATGGCCCGGGAGCGCAGAGCAATTTGTTCCGGGCAAGAACAAAAAACAAACGAGGGATGATGGTGGAGAGAAGAGAGTGGGTTGATAAGGCTGAACAAATACAGGCACTAGAAGAAGGGAGAAAGAGCATAGGGGTGTGTGGGGGAAGGAGCAGGGGTTAAAACAGAAATGAGGATGTTTTGCTGGTGGACTGGGTTGATAGTGAGAAAAACTGTGAAAACTTGAAACCTAGAAGCAGGTTAACAGTACATTTGCATAATTTCACCATAGAAACTACTGCTACATTTAAGAGTTTGCTCAGATAAAAGGTCTTTGTAAGCTATAGACTGTTTAAAGATATAGGGCTGTTTATTTGTATTTGATACACTTTTTATCTTGTTGGAATCCTCTCTGTGTCCTGAATAAATAAAGTTGTCTGGACAAGCTCCATTACATCATTCAAATCTAATGAAATGATTGGCCAGCATACCTGTCTGTCTCTAATCCACGTGCCTGCTCTTGCTCTCACTGCACATGACCTGAGGTAGCCGGAGAGACGCTGAAGTAGAGCCGGTAGAAGTTAGCAAGCGAGTAACGGAAAAATCATCTTCCAGTAGTTCTCAGTCAGAGCACGTTCGAGTGTTTTAAGAGTGCAGCGTCCATGAGAGGGCTGATGGGGGGGTTGGGATGTTTCAGTTGGATTTATTCAAACTGTTGCCTGCTCTTGCTAGCTTTTCCAGGATTACCATCCCTAGCTTTAAGACTCTAAATCATTTATAGCTTTAACTAGAATGTCACTTAGCCCTGCAGAGGCCCAGCAGTCCCTTTAAATTCAATCGAACAGCACAATATTTCACACACTCATAGATATCACTTCCCTAAATAAAACAGATTTTTTTTCATCAAGATCCATGAATCATTATCTATCTCGCAATGTTCAAGATAATGAAAAAAAATCCTGGATCCACTCCCTGATCTGGATCTGACCCTGAATATGACAAATATCAAATGTTTCCACCACGTTTTATGTTAATCCATGCAGTAGTTTTTCTGTAATCCTTATAAACAAAAGCACTGTGATCAAAATGCATCAGGAGGAACAGGGGATGCCCCTGATCACAACTTTTCAGAGAAGCAGAGGTATTTATGCATCAGTAAAATGTGCATCTTAAGGGCTTCAATAAGAAAATACTTTATTCGTTTATTTTTTATACATCTGAGAAGTAATTTGTTAGATCCAATCAGATCAAAAGTCATCAATATGACCAGAATAAAAGAATGAGACGAAACAGTATTTTCCTCAAGAAAAAACTTAACACATAATGAAATATCACAGCCCTGAGAGATTGTGGTTTATTGTAAACTTGCAAAGTCAGTGAGTGTGAAATCTTCTTTCAGGACACCGGGCGTTTACCATCTCTGTGGTTGAAACCAGCTGAGTCACTAATTGTCAGGCAGCACATTCACAAGCAGTTCATTTCACTTCATTTCCACAGCTGATTAGTCATAAGTGACCTGGACAATAGGGTGTGACCAAAATTAGGATCAACGATTATTAAGCAAGGGTGATAAAGGTCTTGATGATTGAAACAGAATTATGAGGAAAATGCATTGTCACTCCCAGTGTGCATCTGTGCCGTCCTTCCTGGTTCATCATTTGCCAAATATTCAGTGAGATTCTGCTTCTATGTGTGTGTGTGTGTGTGTGTCTGACATTCTGAAGTCATACGCGTACCTCCATTTAAATATTTGCTGATCATTTTCACTGACTAATATATTATATGGCCCTTATTTCTTATGTGCACATTAAAAAAGATTGGAAAATGTTCTCTGCTCTTATGAGATCATAATGACTCTCATTATGCATGAGTCATCACTTTAGTTCGGGCATTGTTTGTGTGTGCGCGCAATATTTTATACACATACTTTGTATTTTCTGATACGAGATTAATGAAATTATTTATTTAGATTCATAGAAAATGAATAGATCTTGTATAGATGTATATTAAAGCTTTATATGATGCACACAATGTGAATGTGCGTCAATATTACATAACAGTGGAAACAAATATTACATCAAAGGGAAGACGTGGTGACAAAGAACGTACAGTATACTATCCTAATCCTAACCAACCCCAGCAGCCATGAAGACACAAATCATGTCATTACATCATCATGGAAGCAAATATTAAGCAGCGATGATTATATGACCGTCTTCATGTTTAAACACTGGTCTGTTTTACCCTCTGTATTGTTTCAGTGGAAACTAAATGAATACCACAAGGCTACATTTATCTGTCCATCTATCCTGCACATCCAGACGAGCTAGCTCTCCTGCTGTATTGTGTGTGTGTGTGTGTGTGACTTCTGACTCCTGCCTGCATGGTGGCACTGCCGAGCTCTATGTGGGCCATCTGAGGACACGCCGCTGCAGCAGACATACTCACTATGACGAAGCTCCTGCTGCAGCGGCCCTCCTCGCTCTTGCTCAACTCTGTCCTCCCACTCCTCGCTCCCTATCCCCCACCTCCTCCTTCTTCATGCACCTTATTTCCATCTATGCACAAATACAAGACTTTCCCAACCACCACCTTGCACCATGTTAACACTGTAATCATTTCTAGGCTGTAGAAACTTGCTGCTGCAGCCCACAAAGAGGAGTTAGACTCTGGTGGTGAGGCATTATTTTGGGCATTGCCTTCCCCTCTCTTTTTCTCTCCATCTCTTTTATACACAATGCGCAGCTCTGTGTTACCAAGGTAACGGCAGGGAAATATTTTGTCCAAGTAGCAAACAAGGGGGTTGATAAGACAAAGAAGAAAGGGAGTGAAGTAAAGGATAGCGGGGAAAGGAAAAAGAGATTAGATTAAGTGGTATGACGGGAAATGATGTCATGAAAAAATCAGGTTTAGGGGATAATTTTCATTAGACAAAGAGGAGGACGGAAAAGACGCAGTGACCTTCCATCGAGCTGCGCACACTCCATCACCTTATCTATCACTACGCCCGTCTCCTGCACTCCTCCACACGAACACCCAGCCAGAACATTTTGTGCTGTATAACAGTGAACTTTATTTAAAGTATCAAGGGCAAATCAACTGATCTGGTAAATAGATAATTGCTGTGTGGTCATTTAACATTTTTACCAGGTAATCACACAGCTACTCACCACCATGCCAAATAATGAGTGAATGAATAACCTTTTCGGCAATAAACACAACATTGTATCCTGGAGACTGAAGTAGTGTAACCTTAAACTTTCTATAAAACCAGAACAAATTAACTTATTATAAAACTGTCCCATCACTATTTCTATGCATTTGTCTTGACAGTTTTTTGACCTCATAAAAGCACCTAGCCAAGTGAAACAATAATAATATACATCTTAAAGGTGCAGTGTGTAAAATTTAGGTGTAAGGGATCTATTAGCAGAAATTTAATGTAGAATAATCCTCATGATGTTTTCACTAGTTCATTTCATCTAAATTGTATGAATTGTAGTTTTCTTTACCCCAGAGGCCCTTTATATTCAAATACTTTATATTTACATCGAGGGGACCCTCTCTACAGAGGCCGCCATGTTTTTTACATTAGTGCAGACTGAACAAACTAAACACCTTTTGACTTTTTATGACAATTAAAGGCTACCACAGGTTCTTTTTCATGATTGGAAGGAGAGTGAGGTGAGGGGTGTTCAGCTGCAACATGCAATTTCAACATTAGATATCACAAAATTCTACACACTGTACCTTTAAATCCACTAAGGCACAACCACCCCCCTATGAAACCACATTTAAATTCACTAGATCTACAGTTTTATTTGATTCTGCACCAAATTATTTATATAGTGCCTGATTTTTTTTATGCCTGAGGATCCATTAATTATTCTGGGAGAAATCAATGACAATGTTGATTTTACCCTATCTCTCAAGGATTAAAGGAAGTGAAAAAAAATTACAGGATCTGTCCCCGATCCAAGACAAAATTTAAGACCTGAAAATTAGACAGAAATCAGACTGAAATGCTTTTATTTAATCAGAGCTCCGGCTGCAGCACGACTTTGACCTGACAGCAGCACAGTCAGCCCACGAAGGCTGCTGATGTAGAGACCAACAGCCCCATTTTAAAACCTGCCTATAGCTTATGTAAATGACTAGACGTGCGGAGAGGGCAAGGTGCAACGTTTCACAAGGGGTGAACAAGGCCTTCGGGACATTACATTAGAAGAGGGGGGAAATAACTGTGGATGATTTTATCAATCATTGGAAAAGGAACACACAACCTACAGATGATGGGAAATAGTTTGAGACAAATTCTCGTCTGGATCTGTACTTTAAATCTCGACTGAACAAGGGGTCTGTAGACACACTGAGGACATGTTGGGTAAGTGTATAATAAAAGTTTTACTTAAAAAATACAGTATAAATACAGCCACTAACACACAGAAAGGATTTTCCTCTTAGTGATTCTCCATGTTGCAGGGGAAAGTGGGAGATGGCACAAACAGATTCAGGATGGAGAATAAACCAGACTCCAGACTCAGGCCACTGACATTACCTGGCTCAGATAACCCAGGACTGTGTTAACAGGAGGGGAAGGGTGGGACTGTCTATGTCCTGGACACAATGTCCACAACTCTGTCCAGGACAGTGGAAATAATTGCCTGGCAGGTCGTCTGCGGACTTCAACAAAAAGGGATTTAAATGGTTATGACCTTAAGAGTTTAGAGTCTGAACTGGTGTACACACAACTTTCATTGAAAAAAATATCTTCCTCTAGAGGAGAACACAAAAATGACTAGAAATGCTCAAACCAGCTGACGGGCCAGTAGGTGGCTATAAAGTCTGCATCAACAATCCATCAAACACCAGAGAACAAAGCTGAGGTCCAAGTAATAAACAGACGACAGGGCAGGCATCTATGAATGCAGTGCAGTACTCCATTTAGCTGCAAACTTGTAAATAGACCCAGCAGTGCTAACGACATGTATAGAAACCGGTATATAATTGATGTTGTTGTTTCTGGCACATGTTCATTACACAAGATGGCACTCATGAAGTAAGCTGTGACATCCATTCTACTTGTAAACTGGAGTTTCTGAAAATCTGCACTTTAGAGGACAAATCCCTGTTTTAGAGATTTAAACGGACATGAGTCTCAGACACAGAGGAAAAGGTTTGTTTCTACAAAATATCCACATTAGAGCGAACAGGGTCTGAGGTATGTAGTGCAGTCACAGTGAAATAAAAGAATAACCGTTAGCAGCTTACATGGCATGGGTTTAAGAGATAAAGGAAACAAACAAGCAAAAACACACTAGTGCTGTGTGTGTGTGCAAAGGTCAAAGTAGCGATAGAACAATTCTTCAAAGGCTGAGTTATATAGATGACCGAGGAGATACCAACCCAAAGTTTATCGTTTTTCTCTCCTGGGTAAAAGTGGTATGAAGGCAGGCACAGACGCAGATCTACACCCAGATACTCCCTCATGTGCCAGAAACAAGCAGAGCTCATCCTGACATCCTACCTGACACTCGGTGTACTCTCCCACTGTAGTATGAGAGTGTGTGTGTGTGTGTGTGTGTGTGTGTGTGTGCGTGTGTGTGTTTTGCCTGCCTGTTTGTTGGCATTAGAGAGGCAAAGAGGGAACAGACCAGATAATGACACAACCCGGCCACATGCTCAAAATTCGATGATGTCGTCAGCCTGACACTGCCACCTGTTTTCTGTGGCGTTGAAAACAAAGCCCCCGTCTCACACGCTCTCACCCATCTCCCCACCCTGGGCCTCCTCTCACCTTGGTGCGTCCATTGATGACACAGTCACCCAGCTGTCCATTGGCAGCGCTGTACATGACGGCCTCATCAATGTGAGCCATCAGCGCCGTGATGCTCTCGCAGCCGGGCTCGTGTCCCTCCACCCAGGCGATCTGGTCTCCCCGGATGTTCCCTGAGGGGATGCTCCTCTGGCTCACCAGCTGCCCGCCCTGAAATTTCCCACTGTGGTTTAGGACCTCCACCTCCTCCAAGACCCTGTCGCCCAGCTGAAGGCCCAGGAAGTTGTCCTTCACGCAGATGCCATAGTATTTCATGCAAGGGACGATGTACTGCTGGGCTATGCGCTCAGCCGACCAGCCGGCCCCTGTAGGAGGTGGTGTGGTCGGGATGCAATTGGCCTCGATCGGGGAGCTCTTGCTGGGTGCAGAGGGCGAGCCCAAGGAGGCCACCTTGAGTCCATTGTGCTGGTTAGTGTGAAGGGCAGGAGAGGTGAAGGGAGACTTGGGGGGGACACAGTGCACATGACTGATCATTTGGTTGCAATGGGAACTGTTGCTGCTGTTGATGGTGGCTGTGAGTGGAGCGACTGCTCGTGCCACCCTGGGGGCCTCTAGAGATACGTGGGCCACGCTTCCCTCTGCCAACCGTCTCCTCTTTATATCCAGATCTCTGGGGGCAAACACAGGACAAACAGAGCCCCCTGACCCCAGTGACCCCACCACCACACCATTAAGAGTCTCCATGTCCCGGTTCTCTCCACCCCTCCGTTTCTGTGGGAGCACTTGTCTGACTTTCAGGTCACTGTTGACCCTCCTCGTCCCTAAAGGGCACTTCTCATGAGCAGTCCAGTCCCCGTTCTCCCCCAGAAAAGCCCTGCTGGTGAACTGGTAAACGAGGTCCCCAGTTGCACCCGCCAACCCCTTCATCTGCGGCGGGTAACCGCTCGGTGTGTGCGCCGTGACGCCTGCGTGGCTGCCCTCCACGGTGGCGGAGGGAGACACCACCCCGGCGTTGTAGAGCGGCACGCCGGTCTTGCACTGCTTCGTCGGCGCGGTGATCCCAGGTGAGTCGGTCTGAGAGGCCAGACCCGCGAGGAGCTCCGCGGCGGTGGGGCTGCCGACCGGCGGCGCGCAGAAGCCTTTCAGCCCCATGTCCTCCTGGTACGCGCGGTGGATTTCTACTGGTGCTCGGCCGCTCGTCCTCCCCTGGTGCTGGTGCTGGTTCTGCTGCTGCGGGGCTGAGGCTGCGACTGATCCGCGGGAGGAGCTTGGGTTTAAAAGGTCCGTGTGTCCCAAGCTCTCCATTTCATCTCGTCATGTGCTGGGTGCGCACGTAGCTCACGTCCTCGCCTCATTTTCTGGCTGAGCAGCTGAGCCACACAGCGGAGAGGAGAAGTTTCATGTCCGAGTCCAAACACACTTGTTCCCCACTTAACCAATTTAGTCTCATTCAACCCACTGGAGCTGCTGGGTGTTTATTTGTGTCCAGCTTCTAAACATCTGGGTGCTGTGTCTTAGATCTGTGGAGAGTAAGAGGAGATATGTTAGCCATAATAATAACACAGTCAATAAAACTATCGTGTTTTATGATGTAAAACGCCTGCGATGTAATTATATACAAATACTGAAAACATGTCAAAAGTACGGAGGATAAACAATCATCAACAATCAAAAAATATTAGATGTTAAAATAATCATAAGGTATTAAATACATATATTGAATTGCTTTCTTTTCTAATATCTAATATTTATTTCATATCCAAAGCTGATTTTTAATGAATAAGAAAATGACTCACTTTTACTGTATATTTAAACCCAAACATTAATACTACAATCATAAACATCACTACTTTAAATACACTCTTACATAATTATAATTACACATTTAAATACTTGTACTGTAGCAGCCCAGCTCCCTCCATAACAAGAGAAAATAAAATCACACAAAATGATTAATTCAGTGCAGATGCACATTTCAGAATACGCAGGAAATTGATTTACGTAAAAAAAAAATAATAATAATAATCAAAGTGAAATTGGCATCCCCTGTTCTTACCTACGTGCGCCTGCAGCAACGCAAATCCTCCGTGAGTGTACGTGACAGGCTGAGAGTACGCATGTTATTTCCGGGATTGCCCGTGCGTGCGTGTGCGTGGTGCGGTGCGTCCCATCCAGTTCTCTTGTCGGTTATAAATAATATGGAGGCGGAGGAGGAGGCTGACGGTGCCCCGACACGTTACACCTGACAGCGGGACGCAGGGAGGGAGAGCGACCCACCGGAGCCACGCGAAGTCCCTGAGACCACCACACTGCTCTCCCCGGTGTGTCGCGGAGAGCGTGTGCTCCTCTCTTCACCTCCTACTCGCTCTTCACTCTTCGCTCCTCCTCCTCCTCATGCCCCCTCTCTCTCTCTCTCTCTCTTCACTCTCTCCTGTCATTTACACGCAAGCAAGTCACGTGATCACTTCCACTACACACACACACAAGACACTTCTCTTATTGTCTGACATTTTGGTCCTGCTTATGTACCATTATCAGTGTATTTATTCATTTATTTACTTTATGCATAAGGAGCATTATACTAAAAGTATATGTGCAATGTCAGCATTAAAGGACCAGCAATATGGAGCCGCTACAGGCCTGCAGTAACCTCAATGTTCTGCAGTAGTGGAGTGAGTACATTCAGAAATATTAAAAAAAATAACTCTGCTCTGTTTTTATGAATTAACGTGATTAAACTGTGCAATTCCAAAGTTCAAGTTTTAAGTTTTATTTATCATGTGCAAGTTAGCACAGGGTCCACAGTACAATGGAAGCTGTTGGATGAAACAAGTCAGCTCAACAGTGCAATAAGCACAATAATACATTTTGAAAAAGTCCTGAGGTGCCTGCACAAAGCCGACAAACTGAAAACACTGCCATCTTTATTACGTAAAGATATCTTATGTATCTCAAAGTCTCAAATCCAAAGCAAAATAAAACTGGATCAAACTACACTGGTGGGATATGTTTGCTTCAATACTCCCAAAGTATAAATGAGGGCTTCTTTTAGGATTTTGTTTATTCAGCCAATTCAGAAAAACAAGAGTGGATTTTGTTTTTGATATATATAATTCACACATATATATAAAATATGGGATTCTCCACACTTTCAAATGTCCAGGTGAGAGCCTCGGGATTATAGAAATTTGGGAGAATCCAATGTGAGAACAGCAGACGATGTTGTAAACGCGTCTGTGAGAGAACCTGCCGGTGTGATGTGCATATGTGAAAAGCAAATTCTGGGTAAAGTCTGCACCGAATTCTCGGGACTTTAACCGCAGGTCTAACTGAAAACAGCTTCCGTTTTGTGGTTTGTGTTCTTAGTGTCTTCATGCTTTGGCTAAATAGTTTTTACCTGTACTTAAAAGTAAAGTTTAATCTTCATTGAACTTTATCAATTTGTATTTCACACGTTTGTATATTATTTCGCCATTTATATCAGTGTTGTGAGTATGGAGGTTTTGATGTGTACATTGCCGATGATGTCAGACATATTCCAGCTAGGACACTAAACAATACTTAAACTCGACACATCATTGTCCACATATATGTTTGGGTAGCAGGAGGAAGTAGGGCAATGTGCTGTGATAAAGCCAGACCAGGGGTTAGAGTGCTGGATTAGCGCCTCACCAACAGGGATTAGGCCCAGAGAGTATTGACACAAGGTTTGCACACTACATCCATCCCTCGCTTCCACTGCAGCCGTGTCTCAGCCTATAGTTGGAGCTGTGGAGCACTGGGGACTCTCACACATGTGACCAGGTATGCATCTAAGTATGCTATTTGTGTAAGTGAGGATACAATGGCATTTTAATAAAACAACTCATTGGCTTGAGTCATCACCCACAGTGAGGTTTTAGCTGCACAGTACAAAGAGCAGTAAATATATAGTTGGATATTTTGGACAAAATGTGGTGTTGCCAAGAGTGCTGAAGTCTTGTCATCATTGAGAGAACCTACAGGTGAGTTAATTCAAGTCATCCACCGATTTACAGCAGGTCACACATGCAGTTACTTCTCCCATTTTTATTTTTGTAATGTTCTTTACTTTGGCATTAGTCGGCTCCTTCTACTGACTCGTACAGGACACCACTGCATGGACACTAATATGCACCAAAACACACGCATACCTTTTGCTCCTGTACTTGCCAACTTGCCTGTTACATTCTGCATTGATTACAAAACTCTACTCATCACTTTCAAAGCAATAAATGGCCTCGCTCCAAACTACATGAAGTACTTTTTAATCCCCTTCATGTGCCTGAGCGTTAGATCTGTGGATGCAGCTCTGCTGGTTGTTCCCAGATCACGGCTGGTGACCAAGGGTGAGCGAGCCTTTTTTGTTTCAGTTTCATCTATTGGGATCAGACAGACGACAATCTTATTATTTTGTTTTTTATTCCCCTCCATTGTAATGAAGTGATTATCTTTCACTTGCCTTTGTTGCTATCAAGCACTTTGTAACTTTAAGAAAAGTTCTACATGAATGAAGTTTATTATTATTATTAAATTAGAGATTGGCTGTTTTAATCAGTGCAACCATGTGGGTTTTGTTATTTTGGAAAATAACCTTTTTTTCACATTGTTTCTGGTTTATGTACGGAGGTAAACTAACTAGTAAACTAACTAACAAATGCAAACTGTCTCTCAATATTTACCTCACAAACACAGGTAAATGGTAAGGAGCTGCAGCGGTGAGGCTGAAGAGAAGATGGGGTTAACAGACCCATCAGGCTTTGGATCGATCGTGTCTGGTCCCATGCTTGTCAAGTCATTGACCTCGACCGTGCAAAGACCAATTCACAGTCAGAGATCAAGACATTATTCAGGACTTTATGGTATCATTGAAAGTTGCATCTGACGAGGTGAAGCAATCGTCTTTTGGTCAAATTTATGAGTCTGTACTGACTGCTGTAAACAGCATAGCAGAACGTTACTCAAGGAGGATTTCTTTATTTGAGATTTCATGTCCTTTCTTTTTTATAATCAAGAGCAGATTGTTTTTGCATTTAACAAAAATATATCAAAGTGACATCGGGTAGTAAATTAAAAGCATCCACACAGAAAAGAAAAGAAAATGAAACTAAAAGGCTCCTTCAAAGATAAGAGTCTAAAAAAAAACTCAGATTGGTGATAGAATCACACAGGAAACTACTAATCATTCATCAGTAACTGCTGTATCAATCTTATATTAAAAGTAAATTCTAGTTAGTGAGTCAGCAAAGGAAATAGGAACAACGTTTTTTGGACAAGCATGATGAATGATATATTGTTTGGCAAATACGGAACTGATATGTTTAATCTGTCATGTTTCCCTTAATCATCTCAGTGCATCTGCCGGTAACAGGTAACCGACTGGAGTCACCATACAGTTTTATCAAAGGTCATGTTATTACTGTGTATTGGTAGAAGAGTTAATCTGAGACGAGGATGTACGGTGCCCATGTTTTATTGTTGCTGACACAGATGTGACGCATTTTTATTTATGTTGTTTTGGTAAAGCAAGACAGGACCAGGAAGTTTAGTTTGACTCTGATACAGCTTTACCTCCACAGTTGGCCTAAGGTTGATCCCTGCTCAGGGGCAGCGTGCTTAAAGACACATAGGAAAATCTTACCTCTCAATGTTTGCTCAATGAGCTCATTTTCAAGTCATGCAGCAGCTTACATGGTGGTTAAAACTGACCAGACATAACATGATCCCTCTGAGGTCCTGCTACTGCATAGCAACCAGAGCAGTCAGATATTACATCGGAAGAATGATACCATTGTTTTCAGCAGCGAGAGATGAAAGATGATTCATTATTTGGCTTTGATTGTAGTGGAGAATATGAACTGAGTTCTCGCACTGCCTGAGGTAGTTAGAAGACACTCCCGTAGATATTAACTGTTTAGCACAGAAACTTAACGCTGACTTGTTTACTGCAGACGTAAGTGGTGATATAGCACACACATACAATTACACACACAACACGCATTAACCATTAGCTCGTGACTCCAACAATGTCATCCGCACAAAGGCAGTGGTCAGAGAAAACAAGTGGCCTCCCCTGTACCAGGAGTTCAAAAGGAAAGCTGCACCAAGGAAAAAATAAGCTTACACACACACACACACAC